GGGGCGGGGGGGGTAAAAGGAGTAGGGAGGGCATATACTCCGTGTCTGTATTAAATTATGTGGACACATAGTAATTTACTCATGAGACCCCCACTTATCCTTGCTTTAAAAAAGGATTCCTGTAGTTTCCATTTATGCACATTCTTTTTTATTTAAATATATTTTATTGAAATTTTTACAGAGAGGAAGGGAGAGGAATAGAGAGTTGGAAACATCAATGAGAGAGAAACATCGATCAGCTGCCTCCTGCACACCTCCCACTGAGGATGTGCCCACAACCAAGGTACATGCCCTTGACGGGAATCGAACCCGGGACCCTTCAGTCCGCAGGCCGACGCTCTATCCACTGAGCCAAACCAGTTAGGACTATACACATTCTTGTATATTGTTATCTTGATGCTCTTTATTTGTAGTAACCTAGTATTGCAATATTTCAAAACTAAGAGAAAATGCGTCCTAAAACAATTTGGTATTTTGCTGGAGAATTCTCAATCACGGGGAAAGAACCCAAAGTACACTTTATTAGCTGGAACAACTTATTCTGGCTTAATTTGTTTCTAAGAGACATACAGTGGAAAAATCCAGAAGCAGCAAAATAGTATCAAAGAGTCTTAAGAAATTAATGAAAAGGGCTTTCTATTGCTGCCCTGGAAAGATGGTAATCAAAGTTGCTTTAGAGGACAGAGCTACTATCTATACTAATAAAAGCCAAAAGCCTAGGTGGTCCTCGTGCCCTCACAGGATACCCTCACATCATCACAAGATGGCCACCCTCACATTGTCACAAGATGGCTGCCACAAAGTTGCTTTAGAGGACAGAGCTACTATCTATACTAATAAAAGCCAAAAGCCTAGGTGGTCCTCGTGCCCTCACAGGATTGGGCCTGCAGGGGAGGGCAATTGGGGGCCATCGGGCCTGCAGGGGAGGGCAGTTGGGGGCAATCAGGCTGGCAGAGGAGAGGTTGGGAGTGACCAGGCTGGCAGGGGAGGGCAGTTGGGGGCCATTGGGCCTGCAGGGGAGGGCAATTGGGGGCCATCGGGCCTGCAGGGGAGGGCAGTTGGGGGCAATCAGGCTGGCAGAGGAGAGGTTAGGGGGCAATCAGGCTGACAGAGGAGAGGTTAGAGGGCAATCAGGCAGGCAGGCAGGCAGATGAGTGGTTAGGAGCCAGCAGTCCCAGATTGTGAGAGGGATGTCCGACTGCCGGCAGTTGGACATCCCCTGAGGGGTCCCAGATTGGAGAGGGTACAGGCTGGCAGAGGGACACCCCCCCTCCCATGCACGAATTTCATGCACCAGGCCTCTAGTGTAATGATAAACACATTAACCAAGTTGGTTTTGTGACCTTGATACATTGAACAGCGCTTGATTTGTGCAGTGCTTCATTATAGGCAAACATTGAATAGAAAGTCGAGTAATTTTTGGAGAAAATGTTTCCCATGCTTTATTTATTTATTTTTTTCCCATAATTAAAATTTCAGACTAAGGCAGTCTCACAGTGGGAGTGCTCCCCCCCCCCCTTAAGATAACATTTAAATTTTCAAAAGTAATTCATGTGTAAGGCAGAAAACTAGAAAAACCAAAACCTAAGAAAAAAAATCACAATCCCACAAACCATAGTAAATCACAGTATTTATCTTTTTAGTTTTTCCTATGTGTGAGTATTTTTTACAAAATGCTACCATACTATAAGATTGTTTTATTGTATTTTTTTAAAACTTATAAATAGATTGAGAGATATCTACTTGTTTTGTTTTTATGAGTAAGAACTTGTGTTCCCTTTGTGATCTTTTTAAAAAGTTAGAACCTCTGTTAGAGCACTCCAATAGCTTCTCATTTTAAAGTAAAATCTGAAGTTCTTGCCTGTCAGGCTATCTCCCTGTCTTCACTTTCAGCCATGCTGGACGGTTCTCTTTGCTATGCCTTAAAAACTTCAAGCATACCCTAGGCTCAATGACTTTGCACTTGCTGTTCCTCTATCTAGAACTCTGTTCCCTGGATATCATGGTGCTGGCCTCAAGTCTCTGCTCAGGTATAACCATCAGGCTTTCCCTGATCATTGTGGGTAATATACATTTCATTCTCCAGCCCTCCTTCAACTCACTTTACTTATTTATCTTCATAGCACTTACACCACTTGGCAAATACATATGTATTTACTTGTTGTTTTATTGGCTCCCCCATTAACCCCTAAATGTGAGACTTTTTCACTGATGTAACCTCAGGGCCCAGAATAGCACCTGACACTTACGGGTGCTTAATCAATATTTTGTTGAATGAATGAATGAATGCTCATTATCCATCAATTCATGTGACCTTCCTGGTAGCCTCCTAGGCTTTTACATAGCTACATCATGAAATGGAATAACAATTCCTTACAAGTCAGGCTAGTCCTCTCCTTATCTGAACAGAAGAATTTTACAAAGTGAGTCTTATGATTGTAAAAAAGAATTTCAGTCTTGATTTAATTTCACAATGAGGGAAGGAACAGTTTTGGCAAATGTTACTGACTTTCCTTCTTATACATCATCCCTTGTGAAACATTGGAAATCTTTTAAACATGTAAAGTATCCCAGTTATGTTTACAACTATGATTTCAATTTGATAGTTCTTAGTGACAGTATAAGCCTCAAGAGCATGGTGAGTTTTTTTGGGTTAACAAATACCCAGAGATATAATTACAGCTTTTATGTGTTTTCATTTGAGGAGTAGCTGTTATATTTACATATTTTTCCTGGCAATTCTATCCTTTTCAGCTCCTTGCTTATCGGTTTTTGGATGGCCGGGAAAGTACACTTAAGTTTTTTAACATTTTAAAATAAATTCTTGATCTCTTGAGCATTTTATACCTCTCATATGACTCTTGGACTGTTTGAAAGGACTAGTTTCATCTTTCAGGATGAAAAGACATTGATAATAAAACACATAATTGCATTTTTATTATAAGGATGGGAAAAATTGTATCTTAAGGTAGAATGTTTACAGAGAGGACACAGTGTGAGAATAAGCTTTTTAAAGCCTTGAATTTCAAGTAGTGAGTTTTTGAAAAAAAATCTTATTTTTGCTCTTAAGGAAAAGGATCCTTCTGAATATAGTCCAAACAGAGAACTTAAAAATTTTTTTCTTATGCTTCCAATATATAAAAACTTTCGGGAAAAATCCAAAATGAATTTTTTTTCTTTTAAAAGCCTAAAGGTAATATATTAAGAATTTATTTTTAATTTTTCTGTGTGTTTTTAACATTAGTACGATTAGTGTTAGATTACCAACCTGATTTATTATTTCTTCTCTTTTCTCATTTGATTACCTCCCTTCTCTGATCATATTCTCTCCCTAAATGATCTCATCTGTTCCCAGGATTTAATACCCTCTGGATGCAGATGACTCCCTCAGTTACACCCCCCGCCTGGACCTTTTTCTGGTTCCAGACTTGCATTTTCAACTACCTCCTTCCTGTTATCTCTACTTGCTTGCCTCACAGTGATCTCAAAGTTCACATATATCCAACATTGATCTCTCAGTCTTCCTCTTAAACTTCCAAATTAGTATTCCTCATTCCTGGCCCCTTCCTCCCCTCTCCCCAGCCTTCCCTGTTTCATTGTCATTACTGTTCACTCAGTGTTCAGGCCAGAAAATCATCTTTGATTCTTCCTGATTCCTCACTCTACATTCAATCCATCCGTGTGGCCTCGTGGCCTAGTCTACAGAATAGCGCAAATCCTCTATTCCCTCCACCCTCCTAATCTATCCACCATCTTCTCTCAGCTGGGTGACTGCCTCTACCTGTTACCTGGTCTCTCCTAACTTCCACTTTTACCTTCTTCTACCCCATTCTCCCCTCTACAGCCAGGGTGATCCTACTAAAGATCTAAACCAGATCACATTAGCTTCTTGCTTAGTGGCTTCCCACTGCACTTAGCCCACATCCA